TGCTCAAGTATTTTATAAATTCTAGATATAAGTCCCTTATCTGACATGTCATTACCAAACACTTTTTCCCAGTCTGTGGCTTCCCTTTTGACCCTGTTGGAGAAGTTTTTGGATGTGCATAAGGATTTGATTCTCAGAAGGTCCCACTCATCTATTTTATCTTCTCCTGGTTGTAGACATGCATTATGTTTTATAGAATTAATCACAATTATACTATGTCTGTCATTACCCTGTCTTTTCAGGTCCCTGCTGAATCTTTCCCATTTCCTTCATGCTTTCCCTCCACCTATCAAATTGTGCAAACCTGTGATCCTGGCCCTAATTGTCCTCAACCCTCTCGTACCACCCTTTCCCCCTCTTGGGTCCTTGTAAATGTTTTGCTAATTATCCTTCTATTTTTACAATAATGGCCTTATCCAGTATTTGTCCTTATAAGACCGAGTTACTTCACTCAACATAATGCCTTCCAGTTTCTCGCAAGTTATGTAGTATTTTTTGCAATTGTTGCACCTGAGTGCTGCATAGTATTGAATGTACCATAATTTCTCAATCCATTCAGTTGTAGTTGGACAGTTCTGCTGTTTCCAAGTTGTTGTGATGATGAATAATGCTTCTGTGAACACTGCTGTACAAATATCTGTTTGTGTCTCAGTTCTAATTTCCTTTGGGAATTTTCTATCTTCAACTTTTTGAGGAAATGCCAAACTGCCTTCCAGAGTCGTTGTACCATTTTACAATCCCACCAATAGTGTATGAGAGTTCTCACCGCTTTACATCCTCTCCAACATTTATTGATTTATGCCCTGGTAAACTTTCCCACTGCTACTGGGGTGAGATGGTATCTCCTTGTGGTTTTGATTTGCATCTCTCTTATTGCCAGTGATTTTGAGCACTTATTCATGTATCTGTTGGCCATCCAACATCTAGTCAATTCTGACTAATGGTGAGAACAGAGCAGAAGTAATTCATAGAGTTTCCAAGGCTGTAAATTGTTACCCCTGTTCAGTGTTGCATGAACACGAATGGTTAAGGCTTCTCAGGATGGCAGAGTCTCCTTTCCTCACCATGCCTCAGGGTAGAAATCCTTCAATTGACCGTTTGTTACATTTCATTCCATACAGAGGGAGATCTTGTGTCAAAGTCTGTAGTGAAGTGCACTGTTAACCCAAAGGCCAGGCATCCTGAGTAGCTCAAAACCACCAGCAACTCAGTGACAGAAGCATAGACAATCTCATCTTATTTCGGTTTACAGTTTTGGAAACCGGGCAGAGCATTGACTGAGTCAGAACTGACTTCATGGCAGAGTGAGGGAGTCGGTGAATGTCACATGGAGAAAAACCTTGGGACAGGCTGGGAATACTTGAGACCTGAGACAGAGCCTCGAATGGGATCCATTTCACAGGAATGCTGTACACCCACCCTCTCCCCTGCCCCAAGAGGACATGCCATTTCCCACCTGGAAAGCCATGGAGTTGGCAACAGCCAGAAATATCCTCAGGGGCAGCTTGGCCTTGTAGGACCTGTGGCTCCATAAGCGATGGGCACCAGCTGTCACGCCCAGGGCAGTCAGGATGAAGCAGAAGTAGGCTGCAAGACATGACACAGCAAAGAGAATGTCAGTAAATGTCACCAAGCCTTTAAATGTCCCCAGTGCTTTTCTTCTCTCCTGAATAGGCACTCAAAACATGGAGAATCACAGCCTTTTTATTGATTTGTACTTTTCCAGGACCGGGGGGAAAGAGGACACCTAACCTCAGGAAAATCTGAACATCAGTCTTTTCTTTTCCACATCAAACAGATTTTGTTTGCTAATGTTTCATTACACAAAGTCACAATCACTTTAGCAGGCATTTGTAGTCCAGGCTTACACAGCCACCCTCGGAGGAGCTGAGACTGAGCTCTCTGGTTGCATTTTAATTGGCACCCAAGCTAGGACTGTGCTCTACAAAGAGCATGTTCGAAATGGTAATGCCCACTGTCATGGCTCCATGTGCCCTGCTTGAAAGAAATGGGGACACATCTCAAAGGAATGATGGACACAGCAGTCAAGAATCAGATGACGTGTTACATTGGCAAATCTCTGCTACAAAAGACCTCTTTAAAGTTTAAAGAAGCAAAGCTGTCACTTTGATGGCTAAGGGGTGCCTGATCCAAGCCATGGTCTTTTTAATCCCCTCATATGCATGGTAGACAATGGTAGATAATGAAGGTGTTGTTGTTGTTGTTATGTGCCATCGAGTC